TGCTTCTCAGGAAGTTCACGGCAGAAAATTAAAAAATGCCCTTGGTCCCCCACTTCACAGATAAGTGAATGCAGCTCTGAAAGGTCAGGGAATTTGTGCAGCCATCAAATCACACAGGAATATAGGGATGGCGGAGCTAGGATTTTAACTCTGGGCTGACTGAGGTTGATCCATGCTGAGGCACTTCAGGAAGGCCCTGACTCAGGATATCTCCTTACTGACCTTGTCCATCAGAGAATCATTTTGTTCCTGTAGGAAAGCAGCTGGCTTCTTCAGCTGCTATCCACCCCAAAACCCCCAGTTTTATTATTATAATTGACAAATAAAAATTGTATATATTTAAAATGTACACTTGATGTTTTGATATAGGTATACATTGTGAAATAATCACCACAATCAAGCTAATTACCATACCCATCACCTCACATAGTTAACCATTTTGTATGTGTGGTGACAACATTTAAGATCTATTGTCTTAGCAAATTTCAAGTGTACAATACAGTGATTTGAGGGTTTTTTTTATTGAGCAGGGTACAAGGGTGATTTTTTTCCCAGGTTCTTGTCCAGATGGATTTGAAGAATGAAGCTATGGACAAAAGGTGGTAGGTGAGAAGTACAGAAACTTTATTGCAAGAAGAAGAAACCTTACTGCAAGCAGATTCTATCTCTAAAACTCCTAATTTTAAGCTTTCTAATTCTAAGACCATATCTCTCCTGGCTAAGGAGAGACAGAGAGATACCCTAAAGGGGATGGCCACTGCTTCCTTTATCTTGAGGCATTGTCTGATTGGACCCTTCCCCAATTTAGGATCCCCATGCTTTCCTCATTGGCCACTCTGCAAAGGCTAAAGCCCACGTTGTGCCCCTCTCCTTCTTTTCCCTTATTTTGTAACAGTCCTCTACCCTCTGTGGAAATAAGTTTCCTTTTCCCCGATATTCTGTGTCTTTTCTTTGTCCTTCACACATCCATCTTATCTGTTTAAGCTGGAGTTACTTTTGATCTACCTTATGGTACCTAGCAACCTTATTCTGCCAAGTCTTGAGACTGAAAATGCTGGCTTCTCAGCTCAAAGAGTAAAATGGTCTCTCTCTCTCTCTCTCTCTCTCTCTCTCTCTCTTTCTTCCCACCCTCCCCTCCCCCCCAGAGATTTATTACCCCTATGGCTCTCCCAGCTGCTCAGGCCAGAGATACCTCTGTCCTTGGTTTATGGCTGTTTTAATTGTCCAGGCCAAGTTGCCTCTATTCTGTTTCTTTGTTACTAATGTTGTGGCCCCATCCCATAACAAAGAAACAGAATTTCCGGAGGATGAAGCCCAGAAATCAGGATTTTAAAAAGATTCCCAGGTGATTCTAATGTGCAGCCAAGGTTGAGAACCTTCTCTGAACCCTCTCCCTTCCTGTATTAAGCTAGTTAGTTAACCCTTATCAACCGTATTATTAACTGTACTCATCATATTGTACATTACATCCCCAGAATTATTCATTCCACATAATTGTAACTTTTCATCCTATAACTAACATCTCCCTATTTCCTCCTTCCTCAAGTCTCTGGCAACCAGCATTACTCTCTGTTTCTGAGTTTGACTTTTAGATTCCACATGTAAGAACATATGGTATTTATCTTTGTGTGTCTGGCATATTTTGCTTAGCATAATATCTTTCATCTCCATCCATGTTGTAACAAAGTTTTTTGGATATATATCCAGAAATGGGATTGCTGCCATATATGGTAGTCCTGTTATAGGATAGGGAAAAGCTAGAAAAATTCCAAGGCAGGAGGAATAGGGAAACTGAGACAAGAAAATTAAACAAGGCCTGTTTGTTTGACAGCCTGCAGCCAGTTTGTAAATTGCAAGCCCTTATCTTCTCCCAACCAAAGAACTTGTAATCACACACACTCAAGTATATACACATACTTAATATACACATATATACATACAAACAGACATACATACATACCACATCCTCTTATCCGTTCATTTATTGGTGAACACTTAGTTTCTGTATCTTGGCTATTGTGAATAATGCTGCAGTGATCATGGAAGTGTTGATATCTCTTAGACATTCTGATTTCATTTTTTTGGATATATATCCAGAAATGGGATTGCTGCCATATATGGTAGTCCTGTTATGATAGGGAAAAAAGCTAGAAAAGTTCAAAGGCAGGAGGAATAGGGAAACTGAGACAAGAAAATTAAACAAGGCCAAACAGTTTGACAGCCTGCAGCCAGTTTGTAAATTGCAAGCCCTTATCTTCTCCCAACCAAAGAACTTGAGAGCAAATGGTTAATGTCTGTCCAGAAAAGCAGAAGAGGAGGGGGAAGGGAAAAGGGAGTTTTGATGCCTCTTATCCACAACCTGAGTATACATGGTTTAAATCACCCTAAAACTAACAGCAGAGAGGAGGGAAAAGGGGGGAGGAAAAGTGCAGTCTTATCTCATCCCACTGTTTAAATAGAAAAGTCAGCAGTCTTGGGATTTAATTGCTAGGTGCTTCTCATAAATTCAGAGAAAGCCATAACAACGTAAATGAACGAGAGACTTTAGAGTTAACCTGTGCCAGGATATCTAGCAGAGGAATTTTAAAATTTATAGACAGAAAAGTATGTAAAGCAGAAAGCCCCCACCTCACTTGCTCTCTAGATTAGCTGAGAGCCCATTTGCACTTCAGAAGCCAGATGTATAGATTCACTTGCCTACTTCGTAATAAATTTGCATGCTTTAGTGTTTTAATAAATTGGCTTTATCACAATGCAATCATCTGGAGTCATTCATTTGAATTCATTTACATGAGCATAACAAGAATCTAGGTGGAGATAGCACTCTCCCTCTGACTCAGGGGGCTGTCTGATAACACCTTTCTGTGAAAGGTGCCTGTAACAGTTCTGTTTTTAATTTTTTAAGAACCTCCATAGTGTTTTCCATAGTGGCTGCACTAATATGCATTCCCACCAACAGGGTTTCCCTTTTCTCCACATCCTCACCAATACTCTTTTTCTTTTTGATAATAGTCATTGTAACAGGTATGAGGTGATATCTCATTGTGGTTTTGATTTGCATTTCCCTGATGACTAGTGATGTTGAGCAGCTTTCTATGTGCCTATTGGCCATTTGTATATCTTCTTTTGGAAGAAGTCTATTTAGGTTTTTTGCCCATTAAAATTTTTTTTTTTTTGCTATTGAGTTACTTATTATTTTTAGATATAATCCTTTATTAGATATACAGTTTGCAAACATATTCGCTCATTCTGTAGGTTGCTTTTTCATTCTGTTGATTGTTTTCTTTGCTGCACCAAAGTTTGACTACTTTTGTTTTGTTGCTTGTGCTTTTGGTATCATATCCCAAAAAAATTACTGCCAAGACCAATGTTAGGAAGCTTTTCCCATTTCTAGTAGTTCTATGGTTTCACATTACATTTAAGTTTTTAACCCATTTTGAGTTTCATTTTGTGTATGACATAAGGTTTGAATTTCATTCTTCATTAGATTAAGCAGCTTAAAAGGTGGTGGGGGTGGGGGGAGGCGGGAGTCCACTGCCTCCCTGACAGAGCCTGTAACTTTAGCTCTGTAAGGTTCAAAGCTCATGTACAGTTGGCTCTTATCCATCCACAACAGCTAGCTCTGTCACAGTCACCGTGCCCCTCTGATGGGTCAGAAGGCTGAAGCTAATGGGCTGAGGAGACTTAAAAGCAGTTCAGAAGTAGACGGAGATTTCCAATCTCCATGCTCAGCACTGTGACTTCTGGGAGGAATCAGAGTACGTGGAGAGGCTGGGTGTTCACATGAGGGTGATTTTATCTCTGTATGTCCAAGTTTCTGTGTGTGTGTGTGTGTGTGTGTGTGTGTGTGTGTGTACAACATGCACATGAGTGAGTATTGATGAGTGCACTGTGGACATGACCATCCTACTGACGACCTCAAATAGATGTGTGAGGTATATGTGTAGGGGTGATATCTGTGTTATGGCAGAGGAGAGGTGGAAATGTATTTGGAAAGGCTGTCTGCCTACCTCATATCTGAAGGTTTGCCTGGCCCCATCTGGTTGGTTGGGGGGTGTGGGAACCATGCCAAAGTACACTGGATGGCCCATGCCAATTAGAGTGTGAAAGCCCTCTCTAGAGTATGCCAGATGGCTAAGGCCACTCTCTAAGCATGGGAATCTTAATCAGGGTGTCCAAGGACTATGCAAGTGCACAGCAAGGACACAGCAATCTCACAGTACATGGCACATACATGCCCTTCTATAACCCAAATGATTGATGTCACTATTTGGCTAGAAGCCTTTTTTGTGTAAGTAGTATTAAATAAAGTATGTTACTAAGGCTGCAGAGTGAGCTCAGGAGAGATGCAGCTACTATGAGAGGCTGTGGGTCTAGAGCAGGGGTGGGCAAACTTTTTGACTCAAGGGCCACAATGGGTTCTTAAACTGGACCGGAGGGCTGGAACAAAAGCATGGATGGAGTGTTTGTGTGAACTAATATAAATTCAAAGTAAACATCATTACATGAAAGGGTACGGTCTTTTTTGTTTTTTAGTTTTATTCATTTCAAAAGGGCCAGATCCGGCCCGCGGGCCGTAGGTTGCCCATGGCTGGTCTAGAGGCAGTACGTGGCTGCTCAGATAATGTCTGTGGACCGAGACTGCTGCTGCTGTGTGGGAAAGATGTATTGTTACCTAGCCAGTGTGCACCTACCTACTGTATGGGACTTTGCTTTGAAGGACTGTTTTGGCTAGTGGCTCCTTGTTAGCAATGGCTACATGGCCACTGGCTTCTACAATACTTTCTTATATATCTACTAGTACAATTTTTCATGTCTTCTTCTATCACTCATGTTCAAGAAGGTCCAGCCCTTGGTAGAGCGGCTTAGACCCGACAGGGGAAAATCTTCTTTCTGTTCCTACCCAATTCTAAAAACCAGGTTCAAGATTTGCTCCATCAACCTCTCAAGAAGAATTTGGGGGAACAGAGGTAGCTACCTCCCAGCCACCCCAAATCCCAGTACTCCTCTCTAAGACTATATGGCATGCTATTTAGTGGAGTGTGTGTGGATCCAATGTTTTGTGGTAACTCTGTGGTTCTAGAGCCATCAGACATCCCGGAAGGAGGTCACAGAGGCCTGTGTGTCCTCAGGCCTTAGGCAGGCCAGCTCAGGGAACCCACTGGTCAGTGCAGTGCAAAATGCTAAGGGTGTATAGCACCCTGCCTGCTACTGTGCTGGCCCCAGGGGTGACTTTTAGGGCTTCATCCAAGGCGCAGTTCTGGGACAAGCCCTCTGTCCCCCCATGCAACTGAGCAGACTGGGGAGGGTTTAATGTAGCAAGAGAACCTCAGAACCAGGTCTAGAACCAAGGACTGAATCACCACCTCTGCCCTGCCCGGCCTGAGATATTGGTGATTTTCAGGGCAAAAACCTTTGTGTGTATGTTGCATGAACACCAAAAAAAAAAAAAAAAAAAAAAAGCCAAAGAGCTTAAAAGCAAAGGCTTAGGCCCTTGAGGGATTCAAGCTGGATGGCTCCAAGCAAGGGAGGGGAGGTAAAGTGGAGACAGCAATAGGGAGTGTCCTATCTAGCCTGGTTGGGTGGGTCTACTGAGGAAAAGGAACAGTCTGGGACAGATGAGGGCTGCACCTCCATGCTGTGGCTTTGAATGGGGAGAGGAAAGCTGCTCTGGATGTGCTGATGGCAAGACAACTTTCAGTCCTGGCCCTTGGGGCTGTAAGCTTCTCTGGCCTGTCTCACAGAGACCTAAGTCCAGTTGTCCAACAACACGGTGTGTAAGAGGCATCTGGAGCCCAGACTAGCATTGGGATCCTCCCTGGGTCGGGGAAGGGTACAGGAACCAGGTCAGACTTGGGTACAAATATCTAGTGAGGCAGCATAGTTAGAATAGGGAACAAAGACCACTCCCCTTTTTCTTCTTGATTAAAACATTGCAGACGTGGCCTTCACTGACCACTTGTTACCCTCTGCTTTCCCTCCCCAATTTCCTGAATTGAGATAAAGTAAACTGGTCTCAAGCAGATTCAGCAGCTATTCTGATCTAAAAGTGACCAACAGAGTCATTATAACATCTTTATAATAAATTGGCATTATGGTTTTGAGACCTCCCCATCTCCTATGAAAGTTCCTAGGAGACCAAAAATGAAATCTCTATCTGGAGAGGATCAATGAAGACAAACCGCCAGCAGTCACCCCACCAGCATCAGAAGCCTGAGGATCACCCTATCCCCCCCATCCCACACATCCTATCTAATAAAGAGAGAATATGCTAATTGACCTTCACACTGTCACAAAGATGATGGCGCCCACAGCCAATAAGGAGAGAATATGCTAATTGACTTCCCAGCCCTCAAAGATGGCAGTGTCCACAGCCAATAAGGAGAGAATATGCTAATTACTGTCCCTCCCTCAAAGATGGTGGCACCCACAGCCACAAGATGGTGACACCCAGTCTCCTCAGGCCCGGCCTTGCCGCGGGCCGGCCCAAAGGACAACCAAACGACTGAGCAGCAGGCTGTGTGGGGCGAGCAGGCCAGCAGGAGGGTTAGTGAGGGATGATCAAGCGACTGAACAGTAGGCTGCGTGGGGCGACCAGGCCAGCAGGAGGGTTAGGGA